AGCGGCACCCAGCGGGTTGTGACTAATGTGTGCGCGTGTTGTGACAATTGAAATAAACGAGGGAGAGAAACCTATGTGATCCCAAATTTGTGAAGGGTAAAATAGTCAAAATAAACTGAGTTACTGTCCGGTAAAAAATCTTATTATATTTTACGAAATTTATTAACGTTTTGAATAATTAAATAAATTATATTATATTTATATTTTTAATATATACACACACGTTAATCTAATTATTTTTTCAGAAAAAAAAAATTTCATAATATATTAAATTTTTTCAGTGATAATTTTATTTTGTGACATTTTTCATGAATATTATATTTAAATAAAAAAATAGTAAAAATTAAAAAAAAAATCACGAAAATCATTCATTTTATTTTTTAAATAAAAAAATAAATAAAATTATTAATACAACAAATATTAAGATATACGATAAAATTAATAATTTTTTAAAAATATTATTATTAAGATGTTATTATATAGTGAAAAAAATTTCAAATGCTTGAGGAGTATGGATTTGACATTTAATTTTTATTTTTTATTTTTAAAATAAATCAATTAATAATTAACTCACTTATATTTTAAAAAATAAATAATTATTAATTAAATATTTGAGATAAAATAATAAAATAGAAAATAAAAAATTTAATTTGTTAAAATATTTATTTCCCCACAAAATTAAAGAGAGAAAATTTTAGGTTTCAAAAATAAAAAAGTAAAAATATTTGAAATTCCCAAACTACCCTTTTCATCTCACTCCAATCTCTATAGTCCAGTGTCCCTCTCCACGACCGCGAATGCTCTCTAACCAATCGACCAACATCCATGGCCTCTGCAACTGACCAGCCACAACATAACTTTCACCACCGCATCGCTAACCTCCTCCATGCTACCAGCTCTTCTCTCTCTTTTCTCCTTCCCTCCCCCAAAACGGCACCGTATCCACCCTCTCCTCCTAAACTGTGCGTCCCCTTCAAATTCGCCGACTCTCCCGTCCTCCCGCTCACTTCAGTGTTCGAGTCCCCCCAGTCCGACTCAGTCTCCTCTAAATCAACAATCAAGGGCGTTTCCTCGGCTGAGTCCAATTCGGGTTTCTCGTCAGCAGTGAGGATTGGAGGGCTCAACTCGAACGGCAAGGCCAGCGGACCTGCCTTCGTTGGCCAGGTTTTCAGCATGTGCGATCTTACTGGGACGGGTCTCATGGCAGTGTCAACTCACTTTGATATTCCTTTCATTTCAAAGAGGTCCGTGCTTTACCTTTTTCATTTACCTCTATTTGACTTGGTTACGCACACTTCTAGTGTTTAGCACTCGTGTCGAAGATGTTGTAGGATTTGAACTGAGGTATTTCGTTAGTGAATATTGGTGGTTGGTTTGGCTTTTCGTTTCTAAATTTTTAGGTTTGTTTTGTCTTGTTTAGTTCCTGGTGATTCTGAAAATTAAACTGCTCTCTGTGGCTAAAGAAGCAGCAAGAATTAAAATAGAAAGACAGATTTAACAGGGAAAATTGATATTGTCATGTTCTTACAGGAATTATTAATATTTTCAGAATGCATGATAACTTTGAATTCTGCAGAGTTGATGAATTTAATATTGACTGGTCGATTGTGCTTTAAGAATTTGGAAAAAATCTGAAAAGAGCAATGGTATTGTTTGAGTTAGGATTTGATATTGACTGTTGAGCATATAACTAAAAGCTCAGCCTAGAGGCTGGCACTCCCCAAGTTCTGGATCCAGGATTAAATATATTATCCTCTATAATTGAAACATTCACTTTCCAGGGTTTTGCTTATGTAGGGCTTTGAGAACTGGGTTGAGCAGTGTTCTCTGTAGTCCACCATTGGATTTATTTTTAGTATGTCTCTTCTCTGATGTTTTATTTAATTGAGTGGATTTTCTTGAGTGAATAGAGTGGATTTGGGTTAAGCTTCATTTGATTTTTAAGCTTATAACAAGGCCAGAGCAGATCATGATATGCTTGTAGATTGGGATGCTTGTACAAACAAGTCTCTTCTTTCAGTTTCCTTAGATTTCTTTTTATGTTAGTAAATTGCACAATTGATCTGTAGAACACCTCAATGGCTTAAGAAGATTTTTGCAACTATTACTAAGAGCGAGAGGAATGGCCCTGTGTTTCGCTTTTTCATGGATTTAGGTGATGCAGGTACGGTTGCAGAATAGTTTTACTTTACTATTTCGTTATCTATTTAAGAACCTTACCCAAAATTATATCCAGTATTGCTGCTGTTATGAAGTTTCTGGAACCAGCTTCTTCTTTGGTTTCTGAAACTCACCAGCAACAATTATCAAAATCTACATTCTGTTGAAGAAACAATATATATCCTGCTGATCAATAAACTTAAAATGCATTCACAATTTTTGCCCATGGCATATGTAAACAAAAATGTTTGTCTGATCCTGATTTAGCCTGCTATACCTCATCTTCTATAACTTTCTTGTTCTATTCCGCCCTTCCTTTTTCCCTTACAATTGTTGTATCCTTCTTTTCATTTCTGTTTCACTATTACTCAGCTTAAGTTGATGGCTTTTTCATTTTGAAATAATTTGCATTTATGATGCATGTTCATAGTTGCATACGTTAAGCAGCTGAATATTCCAAGTGGCGTGGTTGGTGCCTGTCGTCTTGATTTGGCATATGAGCATTTCAAGGTATTGTTAACCTGAAAGTACTGATGGCTCATTTTGTTTATTGAATTTGCAAATTCTAGTTGCATTGTTGGACATCAATTTATTTCCTTCAGATTAAATTTAGTTTTCTCAGATCTTTTTCTCTAGACTACCAAAACATTTTGATGATGTGGTATGCAGGAAAAACCTCATATGTTTCAGTTTGTTCCAAATGAAAGACAGGTGATATATGGTCTACTTATGTTTTTCCTTTTTTTTTTTCCTTTCGATTAGTAATTCGCTTATGTTGTAACATTTGGTAAAATGAAAGGAAATTTTCTGCTCTTGCAGATAAAGGCAGCCAACAAACTTCTTAAGAAAATCCCACAAAATGATGGAAGGACAAAGGTGGATGGTGTTCCTGTCTTTGGTGCTCAGAACTTGGATATTGCTATTGCTACAGTTGATGGTATTAAGTGGTATTTTCTCTAGCTGCATTTTCTTGTATTTTCTGAATGAAACTAATGAAGTCATCTTCTGCTTAGAGAGTTAATGTTGGGGTGTTGTACATAACATAGTTTTGCACGAATTCAAACTTGATAAAATAACTGTCACTTAGATGTCCGAGAATGTAAAGCAAATACCATGTGTCAGCTGGTGGAAGTCTCTGTTCTGCTTTCATTATACTAAGTCTATCTCTTGTCATGTTAAAAAGGCAATTATTTGATTTACTCATAACTATCATATAATTGGGGTTCCAATTTTTTATTATGATTGAGTATCATATCTCTTAGCGCATCATCTTGCCCTTAAGCATTTCAGTCATAATAATCATGTCTTTGGTGCATCTGATTCTTGCACTGTTACCATGCGCTTCCCCAGGTATACACCATATTTCTTTGATAAAAACATGCTCGACAACATTCTTGAAGAGTCTGTTGATCAGCATTTTCATTCCTTGATTCAAACTCGACGTATCCAACGGCGACGTGATGTAGTTGATGACAGCTTCGCCGCAGAAGTTATTGAAGAGATGGGAGATAATAGTTGGGAGCCTCCTGAGGTAAAGAATCTAAATGGTCTAGGCTTGCACTTAGAATTATACTTGAAGTTATGTGAGAGTGGAATGTGCAAATTTGGTCAAGAGATACTTCAATTGATTACAGTCTTTTCTCTTTTGTTAATCAGAAAACCATTATGGTTCATTCTGGAGAGTCTTCGATGGCTGTTTATACAATTCTTGAGCTGTCAATTATATAGATGATAATGGGGTTTGTATGCGTAGTTACATATGTGTGCCAAAGTAGACTGGTATTTATGTTGGTTCATAATTGACAACAAAAATATTTGAAGAGTAATTTAGATTCAGTATGACACATTAATGTTCTTTCTTCTTCACTTCTTTTTTATTAACTTGGGGTGACTCTATTAACTATGACTATTTTTTGTCCCAAGGTTCAAGAGGTGCTGAATGAGATAGGCCATCCTGGAATACCATTAAGTGTTATCTCAAAGGCTGCTGAAATCCAGCTTCTATATGCTGTTGACAAATTACTCTTGGGCAATAGGTGGTTGCGGAAAGCCACTGGCATTCAGCCAAAGTTTCCGTATTTGGTGGACTCATTTGAGAGAAGGTACTTTGCATGATATTATTTAGATTGCAGAGTGGCGCAAAATGTTAGCATTATGATACATGCATGTTTTACTCCTACGCCTCTTCATTATGCTAAATTGTTTATTCTGTTGCAGGAGTACAGCTTCGTTTCTGAAAGCTTCCAAGCCCACCAACTGCCTCACCGACTTTGAAGCAGGCCTTGACACATCAGGAGTTGAATTAGATGATAAATTTCAAGGTAACCACAGAGAGACCAAGGATTTCCAGCTTCCTATTGGTGATTGGTTGAATCATTCATGGTTGAAGCAAGGGCAAAAGCATCAGATGTTAGCGGATACAGGGTACTAAACTACAGAATATGGAATTATTTACTACTCTCTTTGTGTTCGTACATTTTCAGAGCTCACTAACTCATTGCT